ACAAGCAAAAGAATTGGACCCCTTCCTTATTCTATACACAAAATTAGCTCAAAGTGGATTACATACCTAAATGTAAGAACTAAAACTATAAAACTCTTACAAGAAAACATAAAAGTAAGTCTTCATGACCTTGGGTTAGGCAAAGACTTCCTAGATGCAACAAAAGAATAAATTGATAAATTGGACTTCATCAATTTAGAGGGATAATTTTTTTTCCCCTTACAAAAAGAAGGAAAAAAATGCTTATTAAATAAAACAAACAGGGACCTTTTGGTAAGAACATGGAACAAAAGGCTTTTTCATACACTGTTGATGGGATTATAAATTGGTTCAGCCTTTTTGTTGGTCAATTGGGTGGTATCTGTCAAGATTATAAAAAGAGCTAGTACAGAAATAGTGCTTACTTTATGTTGGGCACTATTCTAGGTGCCTTACACATCTGTACTTCTGTGGTATCCCAACAACCGTATGGGGCAGGTACTGTTACTGCTCTCATTTTACAGTCAAGGAAAATAAAGCACTGAGAGGTTAAGTAACTTGTCTGAGGTCACACAGCTAGTAAGTAAAGAAGATGGGCTCTGAACCCAGTCTGGCTCCAGCAGCTATGCTCCCAGTTGTTCTTGTACACACTCTGCAAAGTATATCTGTCCTTTCACCCAACAATTCCACATCTAAGAATCTTCCAAAATTTTCTCAAAACCCTGACACGTGTGCCCCAAAACATATCATTTAGAATATTTACCATAGCATGGTTGCAATAGAGAAAAATTGGAAACAACTTGATGCCTGTTGAAAGGCCATTGGTTAAATAAACTATGTATGGATCATTTACACAATGAAATATGGTTTAAAAGAATGAGCTTGATCTCTATGATATGATGTGAGAAGCTATTTATGATGAAAATACTTTGCAAAACAATATCTTGATCTAGATCAATACCTATGTATGTTGTACGATCTTGCTTTACTAAAACAAAGCAAAAGATTATTTGTGCGCAAGTGCATACATATATACCCCAAAGGTTGAAAGTCGTGACTTCTAGGAAATAAGATTAAGAGGAAGCAAAGGAAGACTTTCACTTTTTACTTTATATATTTGTGTATTTGAATTTTGAACAAAAATATATACGGTTTCTCTAAATAAAGAAACTTACTCTATTTTTTAAAAGAAAGGAATCTGAAAGGCTATTCAGGAATCTTCTGTCATGTTAAAGGTTGTGAAAAGCCCGTTCTCTGCTGACCTCATGTCTTCACCTCTTCCCAGGTTGTCGCAGCCCCAGCCTGGACTTTTCATTTCTGTCCCATTGATCTTCCTGCAGCTCCCAAACGATTTGCTGTTTTTCACCTCTCTACCTCTGCCTGGGATACCTTTCCCAACTGATCCCCTGTCACTTCCTATCCATCGTTTAGGGCCAAGTTTGTGAGTCACTTTCATTGAGAAGACTTCCCCTATCTGCTAAGACAGCAGCAAGGGCCCCTGGACTCTCCTGGAGAACCCTGTGTTTGCCACTTTCACCACAGTGACCCTGAATTGTAATTTTATATTTTCCCTTGGTTTCTACAATGGACCCCATGGGTCAGGGGCTACGCTTTTCATTTGTGTTTCTACTGTGCCTGGTACAGAACTGGTGCTTAGTTAATGTTCCTCGAAAGAGGAAATAAATGCATAAATGAATCCTTACAAAAGAATAAAATATCAGGTTGGCCAGTTAGCTCAGTTGGTTAGAGCACAGCCTCAGAACCCCAAAGTCACAGGTTTGGATCCTGGTACTGGACAGCTGCCAAAAAAGGAATAAACTATTGACCCCTTCCCACTATGTCATTTTATATTCTAATACACTAAAACCTGAATATAGATTAGGTTCATAGTGGAGCCCACCTGTTTATTCTTTTCTATCTCTGTCTTTCTCTCCGTCTCTCTGTCTCTCTATATATACTGTATATATTTTATATACATATAAAATTTAGAGCACTGGCTTCATGGGTGAGCTCAGAAGGCCCTGTGCTTGGTTTCATGCTCTGCCATTGCATGACAGAAATTCTTGATACATTTTTTTTTTTTTTAAAGATGACCGGTAAGGGGATCTTAACCCTTGTCTTGGTGTTGTCAGCACCACGCTCAGCCAGTGAGCGGACCGGCCATCCCTATATGGTATCCGAACCCGGGGCCTTGGTGTTATCAGCACCGCACTCTCCCGAGTGAGCCACGGGCCGGCCCTTGATACATTTTTAACAAGGAACTTTTCATTTTCGTTTTGCACTGGGCCCTGCAAATTACGTAGCCCGTCCCAAAGCCATTTATGCACTCACCGTGATGATGGGATCTTGAGTCATATTGGAAACCTCTGTGGCTCAGAAGACCAAGAAAACAAGTTGAGACCATGCATCACAGAGTGGCTTGTGTAGAACCTTTGACAACTGGCTTACTGCATGTGCCCCAGTGTGCTAATCCCTTCCATTCTAGTGACTTCAGACACCATCTTCACCATTTCGATTTCAATAAAGGGTAAGAAAACTCATTCTGAGAATAGGCCAGGACTTAAATTTTTACCATTGTCAGTACCAATAAAGGTACCTCTTATTTTTTCCACATAATCCCTCTGCAATGTCTGGTCTAATATCCCTTCTAGCTTTTATGTGACTTTTCCTGAAAGACCCTAAGAGGTGAAAACATTTTCCTCTAAATCGATTGTTTTCCTACCCCGGGTAGTTTAAACAAAACTTTGTCAACAAAGCTACACTCCTTTTCCTTACAATTTCTGAAGAATACTTCTTGATAAGATTTATTTTTCATCACATTCAGTGAACTTAAAAAGAGAAGCAAATTTAGAATCGAGACTGTGTTTTCATGTTCATTTGACTTTTATTTATTTTTATCTGTTTTTGTTGTTTTTTAGTGAGAACCTCTGTCCACAGGCCTGCCACAAGCTTCCAGATATTATAAGCCTTCCTTCCTTACAGGGCAAAATCATACAAGTCATTTGACCCACAGTCACACTCAGGACACAGACTCTCTTGAGAATCCATTTTTATTAAGATGAAGCAACAAAGGAGCAGCCGAGGAAAGAATTGTAACTAAGGATAGAATAAAAAGCAGAAGTGCGGGTTTTCACAGATTTCTATTGAGAGTCTATACAATTCTTGGATACTGATAAGAATCTTTGCCTTTACTCCTTCCAGATAGCTGGGGAGCAGGGGACCAGTGGAGCGGACACTTAGGGGCTCTTATGAACCCCAAGGGAAATCACATCTGTGCCTCAATTTCTTTACGTGTAAACATGTTAACATAATAAATCATAACACTGAGCACTTACTGCTGGGCACCCCACATAATGCTTTACATGCACTCATTTGTTCATTTAGCCAATATTTATTGAGCACGTACTATGTGCAGTGCTCTTTTAAGCACTGGGGATTTAACAGTGAACAAAGTCCTTATGCTTCAGGATTGTGCATTCATTGAATCTGCCCAACAATCCTTTGATGTCAGCCCCTGCTTGTCAGATGAGGAATTTGAAACTAAAAGTGGTTAAATAAAATTTGCTCTAAGATCACATGTCTAGTCAGTGATTGAGCTGGGATTCAAACTCAGATTCATCTGACTCTCTACAGCCTGTATGTTTCATCACTAGGCTGTGCAGAGCCTCAGAAAAAGGAAATAATAGGAACAGCATATATGGGTGTTTTGCGGCCAAAGAACTAAAAGTTGGCAAAGTCCTTAAGTGGGGAGAGTACCCTGGGAATTTGAGAGAGTGTAAATAGAGGAGTTGAGAAATACTTTCACTGTTTTGTGGCTTGAGAAAGGAGCTAAGGTTGTCTTGGAATCTTTTCCCCTAATGTAAAATGACAGGGGCAGCCTGTCATTTCATAGAATCACCTAGTTTTGAGGTGTCCAGGTACATATTGGGGAAACTCACGTGCATAAGGGAATCCTGCAATAAGAGGAAAACACTGATGTTTGCACACAACAGGTCTAGAAACTCTATTCAATGAAAGGGTGAAGCTTCATCAGTTCTCTGTTTGTCATCCCCATAACTTTGCTGTCACACAAGAGTTGACTAACTACCCTCCAGGTAAAAGGACACAAGCATAGTGCCTGGCTCCAATGTGAATTCAGTAAATACTTAGAGAAGGAATGAGTGAATAATTTCAATTCACAGTCACATAACAAGCAGTCAAAAGCAATTTTGCTGGACTCAACACATCCCAAAGGCCAATAGAATTTTTTCAAGTTCTGGGTTTCTCCTGGAGAAACCAGAGCAGGTAAACGTATCCCTCAGCACCTTCTTGGACATGCAAAGATCTTCAGAAAAATGTGGAGCTCAAAGGTCAGAGCAGAGCTGTCATTCTTGTGGGGCTACTGGGAAGTCAAAACAATGACAAAGAAATGTACAGAAGGGATCTGTGAAGATGAAAATCATTGGAATCAAGACATCACAATTGAAAGAGCCTCATTCAGCCTGAAATAGAAGTATTGACTTAGCTCAGTTTCTTTTTTTATTTTTTGGCAGCTGGCTGGCACAGGGATCTGAACCCTTGACCTTGGTGTTACAACATTGTGTTTTAACTAACTGAGATAACTGGTCAGCCCCAAAATTTTCTTTACAATGGATTTTTTTTTTCTTGCACCTGGCCAGTACAGGGATCTGAACCCATGACCTTGGTGTTATAAGGCTGCACTCTAACCACTGAGCTAACTACCCAGCCCCTGATTTAGCCCAGTTTCTATTTTTCAAGATGAGAATGATTTAAGGTCAAAGGACAGAAATACTGATAAGTTGTTAAGTTCATTAATTGCACCAGAGAGAGAACATGACCCGTTTAAACACTCAAACCTAACTCAGCCATTCACAGATGAGCATTTCCTAACCCCCACCCAAAACACACATGCTCCATTATATGCACATACAGTCCCCCTGTCATTGTAATCAGATCATATAAATGACATCAACTCACTTCAACCAGCTGGGACCTTCCAAAAAGGTATTGTAACATGAATTTCATTTCCAACAGAGCGAAGAGTATACAGCTCAGAAAGGGTGGTGGTGTTTCCAAAGCCCCCCACCCCTTAGCATGAGTTGATTCTAGGTTGCCAATCTGTCCTCCTGGATGTGGTTGGCCTGTTTGTTTTAGTACCATTCAACACATTTGAAGATCCCACTGACCGTCGGATTGGCTTAGGAAACTATTTGCCACACTGATGCAACTCTTGCGACAGAGGTCTGAAATTGGCATCTCTTCTGGCCTTTGTGTCTTTGAGTGTCCCAGCTGCATGGGTATCAAACTGCGGATTTTGAGCTTGGTGTAGAATTTGGGAAATGAGGGGCTTGAAAAGTAATATACCAGGGGGTCCAGCATGCTGTTCATGTAAGTGAAACTGAGGGTCACATAGAGGGCTATGTGGACAGACGGATCACAAGCACTCGAGGGCACTGTCCAGAGGAAATAGAGTCTGGCTGACACGCTGGGCAGGTAGCACGTGATGAACACAACTGCCACCACCATGATGAATCGGGTGGCCTTCCTCATCCGAGTCTGTCTGGCCAGCTGCTGCCTGTGCTGCAGGCTCCAAACAATCTTGAAGGAGCAAAACAAGATGATGCCGAGGGGCAGAAAGAACTCCAGCTGGAACATGATGTCGTGCCAGCCATTGGCTGACTCCATGATGAAGCTCTCACAAGATATGGCCTGCTCTTGCACACACAGGTGGCTCTCCATCAAAAGATACAGTGTCCCCAGGATGACCACGGCCCAAAGGGCACAGACGATGCCAGCCGCAGTCCGGTTGGAGATGGCATTCACCATGTGGTGGGGGTGGACTACTTTGAAATACCTGTCCACGGCCACCAGCGTCAGGAAGATGATGCTCCCTGCCCTGTTCATGGCCAGCATGAAGAGCACCACCCGACAGGGAATATCCTCGAAAGCCCAGTGTCTGCGTCTGAGGTAGTAATCTGTCCGAAAGGGCAGGCAGATAATGAGGAGGAAATCAGCCACGGCCAAGTTGAAAAGGTAAATAGTGCTTGGCTTCCAGGTCTTCATGTGAAAGCAGAAACCACACAGGGCGACCCCGTTGCCCAGGGTGCCAAGCAGGAAGGCCAGAATGAGCAGCGGTGGCAGCACCTGAGTGATGGGGTCTCCTTCAATGAGGCAACATGACCCGTTGTACATGGTGCAGAGGGGACAAGTGTCCCGTGTGCCGAGAGGCCCCTGAAGTCCCCACAAAGGCACTGATGCTTATCTGAATGCTACCACTCACCAGCTGCTGTTCTTCTAACTTTATCACCCTGGGGTGCCTGTACCACACATGCAGGTGGATGTATTAAGAAGGGAATGCCAGGAAATGAGAGACCTGGTGAGGTCCTTTCTCTGGAACCCCGTCACAAGCTGCCTGTCTCCCCGAGGGGCAAAGCCTGTAGCACAGCAAGGCTTGGAAATACCTGCAATTTCGCACACGTGGAAGTTTCTGGAAAGCTGACGGTAAGTCCAAGGAGATTCACGCTGTAGAGGAGTTGTTGGGATCAGCCCCAGGATAATTTTTATTTTCAGCTTCACTCTTCCTCTTCGGACTCAGTCTGTGCTGAAGAGTGCACCAAGCTGCTCAGAAGGCACGAAAGAAGCTAATTTGTCCTCCCTCCTGGTGGAGAAATACAAACATTTCCTGGAGCTGTTCTGGGCCCCTGCTTTACTTCCCTCCCCTGACCTTTGCCTGACTGCCCCCATCCTTTCCCTCGTCCCATGGGACATCCCTTGCAGTGCCAGAGAGGGGAGGCTTTGCTCTGCAGCTTCTCAAAGTCATTTCCTGCACCCACACCCAAAAATATAACGCTCAAAAATTGGAAGGGTCTGTGGAGAAAAAAAGTTCTAAACACAACATTTGTAGGGTGTTATAAAAATTCTTTGAAGGGAGTCACCTTGCCTCCCCTCCATTCCCAATTCCTTACCCTTTGCATCTTTCTGTGGACCCAAGTGCCCAGTTACACAAGGAGCCAGACCACGAAATTGGTCTGAAGTTTACTTCTCTTATGTCTGTGTCCATGAAACAGCCTCTTTGGGAGCCAGATCCCCGCTTGCTGGGAGGCAGAGCCTAGTGCTCTTGCAAAAAGAATCTGGCTCTGAGTTTCCCATTGGCTGGTCAAAAGATCCAAACACCACATCATGTTCTTAATTTTAATTATGTGCTGAGCCTATTGGCGGGGGCAGATAAGGATTGGAGGAGTTGGTTAAGGAGTCTGGCTCTAAAAAAATCACGGGTAAAATTAGACTGCACAAAAAACTGGAGTCTTTGCTAAAATTTCCTGTCCTTTGGCATTAGAGATGATCAATCTGCCTTGTGCCTTTCAGCTGCCAGTTTAGGAAAGAGGTGTATTGAAAAAATGTATGTGCCTCCTTCCACATGCTGATTGAAGCTAAATTCCTCCCACTGAATGCCAGACTCCCAATCAGCCCACCAACATTCCCCGCTGCCCCACCCTAGCACAGACCACTGTCACTCCCACCTGGATTGTTTCAACCGTTTCCTAACTGGTTTTTCTTCCTCTAGTCTGTTCCCTGTAATTCAACTCCCACGCAACAATTTGGTTTTTCTTTTTTTTTTTTTTTTTTCCTTTTTTCTCTTTTTTACTGACCGGCAACGGGATCGCAACCCTTGGTGTTGCGCCTGCACTGTGCTCAGCCAGTGAGCGGGAACCGGTCTCCACATGGGATCTGAACCCTCGGTGGGAGCACCGCCGCGCTCACAAGCGGCGCACTCTCCAGTGCGCCACCGGGCCGGCCCAACAATTTGGTTTTTCTAAAACACATTCATGATCCTATCCCTTTTCTCACTTAAAAAACGTCACTAGCTTCCTTCGATTTGCTAAGGTGGTAGACTGGTGACCTATGGGCCATATCTGGTTCAAAAACCAGTTTGGTTTGGCCTGTTTTGAAAACCTGGGACTGTCCTATACAAACCTGGATTTTCATTTTCTCTTAGAAAATTGGAAGATCTGGCCACCCTGGGCCAACAGTCCCACATGGTAACCATCAGCTGGAGCTGAAAGTAGCTGCCTGGTTACACAGGGCATGAATGCTGCAATTTGCCACAGTCCCCACCACTTCCTATTACTTTGAATCTAGTCAGCTTCTCTCATTTACATGCCTGGTCTCTGCGGGATTTTGAGTTTGTCACCTCTGCTCTAGGTTAAAGATCACATTCCTTGGATTGATATACAAGGTCCTTCAATAATGATTCCCAATCCACCTTTCCAATATAATTCTCCCACCACTTTCCTCTTTACACCCTACTTGTTAATTTCATAACTTCTAATAACTAAATGTGTCCACCAAACTTCTACATATAGTTCCCCCGCTAATCCAGGAGCTCCTTGAAGACAAAGCCCATGTTCTTGGCAGGAGGGGCATAGAATAAGGATCTGGATGACCAACTCCTACTTTTCACGAGAGCTCATAACAGCCAGTTTCACTCTGTGGGCCCTGTGATTTCATGAAAAGGAGTTAACTAACAGGGGTAACCACTGTAGGATGTAACACCCCAAGATGAGGCTGGGTAACTCGAATACCTCAACATGCTCAGGCTGGATTTTTCAACAAATGGAAAGTATTCTTTATCCTATGTTATCAGAGACTGTTGGAATTCTTGTAAATGCGAGTACTTCCCTTTTCTCCACAAGACTATCACCAGCCTTTCTTTTCTACGTCCTTTGTCAAATCACCTTCTTCTCTCTTTTCAACTGTAGAATTACCTGGAAGACAAAGGACTTAGGAAGAAAAGATCAGTTTCTATTTCTTTGGAAGTCTACTGGTTTTTCATGTGTAATCTGATTTCATTCTACCCCAGAGCTTCAAGAAAATGGCATGTCTCTCACTGGACTACATGCCCCAGACCATGCTCTGGTGCCCTATTTCTTTGTGCATCAAATTAAAATCTATCCAAAAACTAACTCAAAATGGATCTGAGACTTAAATACAAGAGCTAAAACTATAAAACTCTTAGAAGAAAACAGTGCAAAACCTTCAAGATGATGAATTTGGCAATGATTTCTTACATATTATACCAAAAGCAGAGGCAAGAAAAGAAAAAAAGATAAATTGGATTTCATCAAAATTAAAAACCTTTGCGTGTCAAAAGACACTCTCAACGGAGTGAAAGGCAGCTGGTGAAATGAGAGAAAATATTCCATAATCTGGTATGGAATGAACATCCAAAATATATAAAGAACTCCTGTAACTCAAGAAAAAACAAACAACCCAGTTAAAAAATGGGCAAAGGACTTAGACATTTCTCCAAAGAAGATAAACAAATGGCCCATAAGCACGTTGAAAAGATATTCAATATCACTAATCATTAGGTAAATGCAAATCAAAACTACAAGATACTTCTTCACATACATTAAGATGGCTATTATTTTTAAAAACCTAAAAAACAGAAATTAAGTGTTGGTGAGATTGTGGAGAAATTGGAACCCTTGTGCATTGCTGGTGGGAATGTCAAATAGTACCATGTGTAGTACACGGTTCCTCAAAAAAAAACTGAACAATAGAATTACTGTATGATCCAGCAATTCCATTTCTGGGGATATGCCAAAAGAAATGAAATCAGGGACCTGAACAGTTATTTGTACTCCCATGTTCACAGCAGCATTATGCACGATAGCCAAACGGTGGAAGCAACCCAAATGTCCATCAGTTGATGAATGGATAACAGAATGTGATATATATACACACAATGAAATATTATTTAGCCTTAACAAGAAAGGAAATTTTGACACATGTTACAACATGAATGAACCTTGAAGACATTATGCTAAGTGAAATTAGCCAGTCACACACAAAAAAAACCTTATATGAAATACCTTGCATAGTCAAAATTATAGGGACAGAAAGTAGAATAGTGGTTACCAGGGACTGGGGAGACAGGTAGGTGGGGAATGAGTGTTTAGTGGGTACAGAATTTCAGTTTGGGAAGATGAAAAAAGTTCTGGAGATGGATGGATGGTAATGAGGTGCAGCAATGTGAATGTATTTAATGTCACTGAACTGTTCACTTAAAAATGGTTAAGATGGGAAATTTTATGTCATGTATATTTTACCATATATACAAAAATTAAAATCTGTCTATAATAGTCTACTGCCATTGAAGCAAATATACAGGGCTGACTTTATGGATTGCCATGGAAATATTCTGTGACACATTGTTAGGTAATCAAGCAATTTCGCCTCCATTTCTGTAAAATTGTACTCATATCTACGTGTGTTTATATAAACAGAATGAGGTTTGGAAGGATGTTGACCAAGATGTTGGTGATGAGTGTCTCTCTGGGTTGGTTGGATATTGAATAATTTTTTATTTCTTTTTCATATTATTCTTTACTCTTTGAATTTTCTACCAAGCAAGCATGTATTATTCTTGTGAACTGAAAAAGAATACGAAAAATACAAAGAAAAAAAAAAAAGGGAAAATAAAATCTACTTTGAACTTCCATTTGCTGGATTTGACTATCCCGTCTTCCCTCAACATTCCCACCTTGGGGTGATTCTTTGTCCTTTCCTTCTTTCTTATGATTTTAGTTCTTTAAAATCTTTTATCTCCTCTTAGTTACTAAATACTTTTGGCTCCCTATTACCCACCCACTCTGGGGAAAGCAAATTCCCTCCAGCAAAGGAATGACCAAAAGATGATTCTACTGTAATCTTCCACCCAAGTAGACTCACAGATTCATGAAATTCAGGGACAGAGTCTGAATTGGATTAAAATATCCTTGTGGAGAGCCTTGTCACTCCCAGTGCCATGCTCAGACCAGCAGCCACAGCATCACCTGGGAGCTGGTTAGAAATGCAGAACCTCAGGCCACAGCCCAGACTGACTGAATCAGAATCTGCACTTGAATAAGATCCCAAGTGACTCATGTGCACATTCAAGTTTGAAAGGTACTACCTATAGTCTCTTGTACTTAGTACAATAGAAGCTGAGGAGATATTTGTCAAACCGAATTAGATTAGTTTTGATGAAAAACATGCAATTATTTAGACAAGTTGTTGCAGCATGTTCCTGTCTGCTGAAGGGCTCTTAATGCCACCACCTGGCAGTGTGCTGGCGGTGAGATTCCTTTTTTCCTTCAGCAATTCTGACCAGCAACCTTGTCCATAACAGGAGCATCATTGATTCCTAAGGCTGCCAGGTCCCAATGAAGTAAAGATGGTGCCTGCTCAGAACCCACTGTCCACCTCCAAGTCAATCAGGGGGCAGTTCTTCATGCAGCCGGCTGGATTCTGAAGCACTCTGGAGACAGGTATGTCTCCCACTGAGCAGGTCACTGTGTTCCCATAGGTAACATGGCCCTCCATCACCTGTTTGCACAGCAGAACTTAGTGGGTG